ACCCTTAATTCATGGGTTTAAACTTGTAATTATGTGAATTCCAAGAGAGTTGGTGATCAAGAGCAAAATTTGAGTAGTGTTTGATGAAATTGGAGTTCATATCTCCAAGCATGTGAAGGAATTACCCTGAATGTGCATAATCATGAAGAATTGAGTATCAAAATTCATATGCATGCATAATTTTAATGAGCTTCATGATTTTGAGCATCATTTGTGCCATTTGAAGTAGGATTGGAGTCAATAATTAACATGCATGCATGATTCATGAAGATATGAAGTTTGTATGAAGTTTGAATGTATAAACTTTGGCCATACCAAGAAGAATGTGAAATGATTTGAGAATTAGATCATGATTTTGGACAATTGGTCTCAAATTACCTATGTTCCCATGTCATGTAATGCCTTTCCATGTTTTTGTACTAAAAATGTGAGTTTTGAGTCTTTGGAATCGGGTTTTGAACTTCAAACACAATTTTGGAAATTCCAAAATTTGTCATGTCCGCTCAAGCGTAAAAATCAAGCTCCTAGAAGTTTTGTAGACGCTGGTGTTCACTCGGGCGAGAAGAATTGCGCTTGAGCGCCCACTCACATGTTTTGACTCTCGGTTTGAGCGACCAAATTCATGCTCGAGCGCAAAAATAAGACAACCAGTACTTTTGCAGACCAAAGGGGTCCGCTTGAGTGAGAAAAGCTACACTCGAGCGGAGAACCCTGTTTCAGAAATTTTGAAAAGTTCTTTTATGATTCATTTTTCAATCTTTTTCATTTCCAAGCACTCTTAGGCATGCATTGAACATTGTAAATGAATTAAAGGTCACGAAAGAAGCCTAAGAGCGTTAAGCAAACTAAAGAATGGATTGAATGGTATTATGACCCAATGTGTTATGAATTATGTAAGGTCAAGTGCAATGACGAATCAAGCACCGGAACATTGTGAGTAATATCTTAGCAAAGATATTTTTGTATACGCATTATTTTCTAAACAACGCCTATGTGGCAAGGTTCTAAACCTTTGAAGTGATATTATGAATGAGTATTCTAATCACTCAATTCGGAATGAAATATACGAAGTGATCAATGCATGAGTATGAAATAGGCCTAAGGCCGTTCAGCATATTCAATAAGGATGTGGATTGGGCCTAAGGCCATTTTGTATGATTATTAAATGGGCCGAAGGCCGTTTGGGATAAGGAAAAGATATGGACCTAAGGTCGTTCAGTGTGTGATGGACCCAAGGTTGTTTTGTATGCTACATGGACCCGAGGTCGTTTTGTGTTTGAGAAATGATAAAAAGGACCTGAGGTCGTTTTGCTTTATTATTGATTTTCAAACATAATAGTGAATTATGATTATAAGAATTTTGTTCATGAACTCCTTTGCTTTGGTATTATTCGCTGGGCGTTAGTTCACTCGTTATTTATATGTATGTAGGTGAGCAGTGGGATGTCTAGCCTCAACCCCAGTGAGCAATGAGAAACCAAGTTTTAAGAGGTCAACTAAGGTCGCCTCATGCAAGAGGCCTTATTTTTGTTTTACTTGTCATTTGATCTTTTGAGGTCATGTATGACCAATTCTGTACAACCTTGGTTTTGGTAATACAGACTACTGAACAATCATGTATATATGAGTTACATACATAATATGAATGTTCATATAGTGTGAGCTATTATATGAATATAAGAATGTTTGGTTAAGCCATGTATGCATAGTTCATTGGACGATCTTTATAAATTTTGCTTCCGCAATTTGGCTCCCTATATTTAAATATGACATGGTTTTTGACTGAGGCCGTAGGTAATCTCGTGATTACTGGCTGGTTATGACTCTAATCCATAGGGACGGGTTTGGGTCAGGACATGGTGGGCCAACCATGGATGAATGCTGCCTAGGACCAGTTAGATATGGTCTTCTGCTATAGGTGCTGGCTGGTTTTCGGTCTTTCTGCATATCCTTGTGATACTGCTTCCCATCGATTGGGAGCCCCTTTAGCCATTTGTAACTCATCTGCACCCGGGGCACATCCTTTGCACTATAGCTGCTTCGAGGGAGTCATAATCTAATGTTTTCTCGCTGGAGCAAATCCTTTGGCTTTTAGAGCTTTGTCCACCAACTGGTGAGCTTCTTGTGTCCTTCTTGAAGGCAGCCTGGCTAGCCACATGCATCTGCATAGTGACTTCCTCCAATTCCTTCAAGGAGAGATTTTGGATATCTAGGATGCCATCATTGGCTGTAGCCTCCCCAATTTCTGGAAACAAGTTGGTGTCAATTCCCATAACTTTCTCAGTCTTGGTTAGAAACTTTAGCCTTCCCTTTCGAATTTGTTCTTGGATCTTGTCTCCAAAAATAATGCAGTTTTTAGTTCAGTGAGATCAAGAATTATGCCACTTACAATACATTTTCCCTTTAAGTTCTTTAGGAGTGGGGATCTTTACTCCCTCAGGTAACTTTGGGAAATGGGCTACAAGAAAATAATCAAAAATGTCATCTGCTTTTGTTATGTCAAAAGAGTACTTCCTATGAAGATATTTCTTTTTAAACAGCTGGTCTATTGTAGTGTCTTGCTGAATCAATGCTTCACATGTCATAGGTCCTTTTCCTATGATCTCTACTGTATCGATTTCGTAGTTAGGGTCCCTATAATAGGTTTTATAGGATGCATTGTTTCAATCCTGTTCTTCTTCCAGCAAAGCTTTATATCTGGAGACTTTATAGGTTAATTATGCTAAGTCTCGAAAATTAATTGCATCAAACTTCTTTCGAAGCCTAAATTCCAACCCATTTTGAGCCAATCTTACAAATTTAGGCTCAGGTGGCATGACCCTACATTTGTTTCGTGCCCTTTTAAAGGTAATAAATTTAATAGCCTTTTCATTCGGTCTTTGTCTCGATCTTGTCAAGTCTGTCATAGAAACCTTAGGCTCTATTTGGAAAAATTGGGCACGAAATACTTCCTCCATTTGTTGCCAAGTTTGGATAAAGTCAGGTGTAAGGTTTATATGCCATATGAAGGTTGCCTCAATTAGAGTGTTTGGAAAAAGTCTCAGTTTTATGTAATCATTATTAGTGAACTCACCACACTAGCCTCTAAACCTAGCAATGTGTTCCACTGTTGACTGATTTCTATTTCCATAAAAAAAAGGGCAAAGTTTGGTATTCTAAACCCTCTTGGATATTCATGTACCCTATCTACCCATTTCGGGTAAGGTTTTCTGTACACCGGAGTCTGGACCCCCCGAGCCATAGGTCCACATATTTCTCTAACAATATCAGCAATTTGGTCCCTAAGAACCATATTTTGTGCTGGTTGGACCACTACTGGAGGAACAAACACAGGGTTTGGAGGAACTCCATGTACCTGAGGGCCTCTTGGTCCATATATAGGTATATTCAGGACTGGTTGTCCTTGTTATACTGGTTGCTGTTGAAGGTATGACTGATCTCTTGGAATCTATCCTGAAAAAGGCTTAATGAAAGGTGCTATAGAAGAAGGAACAGGTGTTGTTTTTCTTCTAACCGCAAGAAATCCTTCCAATCTCCCGGGTGCAAATTCACACACAGGATTAGTGAAACCTCGTGTGCTAGGTATGGCTTCAAACATAGGATTTGAAAACATCCTCATGCACACTATAACTAAGGCATATGTGATGACCTCTCAGGATTTTTATTACGAATTCGACCATTAGTTTGTCCATTATTTTGCATAGGCAGTTTATCTCAAGCCAGTCTATGCTAAAGAGAATTCACGTTTTCTTTAACCTGTCTTACAACAGTTGGTTAAGGAGAGTTCATTCGATCCCAAAAGGATGTTGCCCATCTTTCCATTATATACATTAGTTGTTGTTCCATACTATCTACTAAACCTCCTAATGGATTCATTGGTTGGGTAAGAAGGATAGTTGAAGGTTCAATTTCATGGCCCTGTCCAATATGTTGGACATGTGTTGAATATTTTGAAGTGCTGGTCTATTCGACCGTTTGTCGAGGATCTAATGGGATAGGTGCATCCATAGGATAGGACATTACAGTATCCTCTGGGTTAGGTACTTCTACCTCTCCTTCTGCACCTTCTTCCAGGCATTCATTGTTTCCTCTTGCTCTACATCTAGCCATTTTTAATTGTCCCACTGGGCATGCCAAGGATATGTCTTTTGGCTTTTTTGGCTTTCGAAGGTTAATTGTGTAAATTAGAGCATGCCAACAAGGATCAATAAGTCCTTACAGAATTTTAATTGCCAACCAATTATTAGACGATTATGTTGAAGTTCTTTCAGCCTCAATGAAGCGAACTTTTGCTAGTGGCTTATTTAGGAGAAACTTACAAATGATCACAGATACAAAATAGTTCAAAAACTGAATTTCATTAAGTAAATAAGAACTTACAATGAAATGACCCAGCCTTGAAAAGGTTTACAACAGCGACTACTTGAAACTACTCCTAGGAAATAAAGTGCAGTACAAGAATTGAAGAACTGGAAATGTAAAGAATTGGAAATGTAATGATTGGAAAGAAAAGTATGAAGTAAACGACTGGTTTGTAACCGTCGAAGTGGACTTCTAACTGTCGAAATGCCCTTCTACGATCATTGGTTACGACCCTGAACAACATGCTCCTATGACGCTTTCTTTGCAGTTGAGCTTCCCTCTTGTATGTGAATTTGAATTGTGAGTAACCATTGGGCTATGTCACCTCATGCCTTTTAACTACTTCCATGCGACGTGGTCCCGTCATTACCAATATGAATTGCCACGTGTCAATTCCAAGTTATCAACCTGAAAGCTAAGGAACTTCCTGTCAATATAGCACATAAGAGTAGAATCTCAAATGCATACTATAACTAAAATTACATAAGCTAATGTGCAGCTGTCAAGGTATGTATATAGCTTCGCTAGAATGTATAAATATTTGGCTAATCTAAAATTTGTCTATAGAATTTTACTAGCATGTGACAGGTACTAGTGGAGTTGTCAAAAAATAAAAATAAACAAACAAAAGGGAAGAAGAAGAAAAACATGCCTTCCAATTTTTCAATTTCATTGCTTTAATTACAAGAAAACAGTTTCAAGCATTCACAATTTATTGAAGCATTGTGTATTCCTTGCCTAAGCATTAAAAACAAAGATTTCTGCTTTCCAACACATTCAAGAACAGTATTAAAACATAGTGAACATAGGTTAAGATCCTGACCTTTGCAAATAACAATGACAAAGAATCTGGAAACTCTCCTGTAGCTATGATAAGAAATACCAGAAATGGTAAAGACAAAAAGCTGTTATAGAACATGATCTCGACTGATGAAAGTCCGTCCTCTGCACCAGACTTCTCCACCAACACAAGGTACATGGTCTGCATATGCAAGCATATCACAAGCTCAAGCAACAAGGCTCCAAAATGATTTTATGAGCACTTGTTATTCACAAATTTCAATAAGAAAAGCCCAAGACCAAACCTGGAAGAAAACAGAAGTAAAGGCCATGCTATATCCAACAAGGTCAAAAGAAAAATCTCCCAGCGCTGCAATCATAACCCCAGCAGCAGTCAATACTACCGAAAGAATTACCTGAAATAAGATAGAGATGCAAACAGCCTTATTAATTTAAAAAATAATAAAATAAAAAAACAGGAACAAAAAATCATTGCTGTCTGCCGAACCAATAGTCGTTAAGACGTTTTAATAAGATATTTATGAATAAAAAATTATAAACCAAGAAAGAAAGAAAGAAACCAACAAATGAACAATTTTGCATCTCCTACCCACTGAAACAGGATTAATGCACTGTATGTGTGTCCACATGCTGCAAGACTAAGGCCTAGTTTGGGAAGACTAAATAAGTGCACTTTTTGACTTTTTATGAAATATAGATTGGGTTTGGGTTGGGTTTGAAGTGATGTGTTAGAGAGGTGATGTGACTTAAATAAAATGATGTGACTTAAATAGAATAGTGACTTTTTGACTTTTTGTCTTTTTTCAATCATGCCAAACTTGGCCTAACAATCACGTTTTTTATCACGTTTCTAGGCAGTTTGGTGTAGCACTTCTGAATTAATGACACTTCAAAAGACTCGGAGGAAAATTAAATTTAAGCCCAAACATATTAAGATGATTAGGCACTAGAAACAATATATGAACAAATAAATAAATAAGAAAGTTGACCAAGGTCATAAGGTAAGGTCAAAGGGACAAAATTCAACAAATATGTAATAAATATAACACGATGCTAGAAAATTCATCATTTTTGTTTGGGTGGGGTAAAGTTATTTGCTTACCTGTTCTTTCAAGAAAATATTTCATCCGAACACTTTACGAAAAGAAAGAAATAGAGAAAAAGTTTCATCCGAAGACGTACCAAATCAGTGGAAGCCAAAGAAGATGACCATGCCGGTAATTACTTGATAAGAACATAATTTTAACAAATCAGAATGATGGACTTTCTTACTTGCTTACATAACCTAGTAGCCACAACAACATAACATGCAGAGACTAAAAATTGCAAATATTATATGCAATGTTTTGATCAAGTCACAGCATCATCTTCAAAATTAAAGTATAATATTCATTAGAACTTTGAATGTGCTATATCCAAAAATTTAGAAGAAAAAGGCCACTCCATATTGCTAATTCTGGTCCTAGTTAATATAAGTTTTAAACTGCTTGGATTTGAAAATTTTCTCTTAAAAATGTTAGGTAAAAAACACTAAGGAGCATAGTTTATCTTGAAATCTTAGAGCAGCCATGAACTTTGAAAGTTTTCATCAAACTTGGACTTGAAAACTAACATTAGTGCCCCATGGCTTATCTCATAAGCACGCTTCTAAGTGAGAACGTCTATCCTAACAATGCTTGCTCACAAAACTAATTTAATCACAATCAATCAATCCAATCATGCTAAAACTAATTTAAAATCCTACAACTCAGTTATAGATAGTGAGAAAACACCCATCGATTAGTTTGAAATGAAGGCATTGAGGTCGTTGTCTAACCTTAAATCAATGAAATAACTGTCAACATTAAGTCTCTCAGAAGTCCTTATACGCTAGCTGAGTTAGGTTTGGGCTTGACCTGTAATGACAGAAACAAGAGTTAAAAAAATATTAGATCTAGAATTTTTTCTTTCCTAAATAGAACATGTCTGATTGATATTCAAAGCACATGTAGCAGCCATGAAATGAACAGCATATTCAACAATTTTGCAGAGAGAAGTAATTTGAACAATTCAAGCGATGAAGTGTTTCCAGTAAGGAGCTTCCAAATTACTGTCAACAAGTCCGGCGGAGGACCGTTAACTGACTGTCCTGTGTTTTATAAAATGCGAGAAAATTAAAATTTGAACCTCACGAAAAATACTTGGCTTCAGTGGATGTGAAGAAGAGATCGTTTTCCAACATTTTCTCGGCAACCAAACACAATAATATCACAAGAAAGCTAAATAATGTAAAGAGAAAGAACGAAAGAGACGCACCTGAAGCTGTGAATCCCTCACATTTTTTGCAAACTTCGAAGCTTGTGATCCAAAGGAGAGCTTCGACCAGTGATCAGAGGATTTGCCAAAACAAAGAGAACGAATACCTACACACACACAGAGAGAGAGAGAGAGAGAGTAAATTGAAAACCTAGATTTCCTAAGTCAGATAGAGAGAGAAGCAGGGGTGATAGATTAAATTAACTGATTCGATTCAATTCATTTAGTGATATCATTAAACAGAACATAGAGTGATGATTACCAGACGAAGCAAAGGAGCTTCAGGATCCGCAATGCGAGTTAAGGCTATGTCAGAGCTAAATAGATCCGACTCGGCTTGAAATCGGAGAGCAATGTCGGAAATTAGAGAGTTTCAAATTGCTAGAATGAGCAGAAATTTGACGGATTTGAAGGCGACGAAGACTGATCCGACAGCGGAATAAGCAGCCGTGGAAGCTCCGGCGATTGAAGAAAGAGAGAGAGATGAAGAAGAAGAAGATCGCTACAATGTGTTGTGGTTGATTAATTTGCTTTGGAAGCTCCGAAGAGTGTGAGAATGGCGATGCATTTGAAGAGCTTCGACTGTGGCCAGTCAGATTCGAGCGAGAGAGGGTGGAGAGTCAAAAGAGAGTCGAGCAAGAGAGATTTTGAGAGAGAGAGAGTTCATACAGAGAAATTTGGGAAATAAGTGAAAAAGGGGAGATAGTTTTTTAACAACACGGGTCTTCCTTTTTTTTAATGTAAAAAGTGATTTTTTGCGACCACTAAACCATCCGTCGCAAAAAAATAAACGCAAAAAGTCATATTTCTAGTAGTGGTTATAGTGTAGTAACAACCACTACATTAAAAAATTGTTGCAAAATTAATTACATTACTCATTTATGTAACATATGTGTGATGCATATAGAAAAATGATTCATGTACCCACTTGATTGGACACAAGGCTTAGTTTGATTTGGTTTGATGATGTGTGATGCATAAATTATAGTTATATTTACATAAGTTAAATGGTTATAGTGTAGTAAGAACCACTACATTAAAAAATTGTGTTTAATCGGCTAAAATTCAAGTTGTTCCTCAAAATTTTATATCTGTTAATTCTTGCTGGATATGATTGGATTCCTTATTGACAGATTCCAGTTTAAAGTGGACTTCTTTTGATCCATCTGAATATTGGATGTGGTCCAAGTAAAGTTTTATTGGGTTGGCACATTCAAATGTGTCCTACTATGGTTGGATTCCTTGTTGACAGATTCCGTTTACTTGGTGGGTTTGTCTTCATCTTGTGTTTTTTGATTTAAATGTAAGACGCACATTTAAATGTGTCCTACTATTAAAAAAATACAAAAGATCTAGGCATGTTTCAGACATTTGGAGGATATACGTGTCTATTTCTTAGACACATGAAACACATTATAAGTTTGAATAAAATAACTTGCGATCTAATGACAAAAGTATATTAAAGTATATTTATACCTATTAATCCATCCTCCTATAAACTTTAAAAATTAGTACTGCTGTATTTTTTTTTTATTATCTTTAAATGAAATATTCATATATATGATATACACTAAATTTGAAAACCTATATATTTTTTGCGAAATATACTTCACATGTCATGTCTTGTAGTTTTTGAAAATTATCACGTCGGTGTGTCTGTGCTTCTTAGCAACCACGTTCTTGTTGTATAGCCTATAGGATTATTTAGCCTTAAGAAATAGTTCCTTTTTCTGACATTAGAATTCATGCTTTTAATAATTTCAGGTTGATGGATGTTGTTTGCTCATTCTATTTCTTTCTTCTTGTGTTTTGTTGTAAATGTAGTTGATTGCCCCAAATTTTTGCTGAACTTCTGTGCAGGGAGTTCTTCGTTCCCAGTTACAATCAACAAATGAAGATAATGGAAATATTAAAAAGTGAGTTTCCCACTTTTATGCCAGAACTGCTTTTTAGTCTTTTTTCTCTTTTTTTTTTTTGTTTTTGTTTTTCTTTTTTTTTTCTTTTTCCCTGTCAGGTCTTACAATAACAATCCAAATCTATGAAGGAAAGCAAAAATAGCAAGCTTCAATTTTTTGTTGATATTTCAACCTTTGTAAGGTTGTGATCTTATCACCAGAACTCGAATCATGGGATTTAACCAATTGGAGGAATTCAAATCATGTGATTTTAAATATGTTAAATCATGTTGATGCTAAAGTTTTTGATGCTTTAAGTTAGGCTTGGTTATGTCAGATCAGACATGAGCACTAGGAATTAAAGGCTGGAACCAAAACCTGCTGAATTTGACAAATTCTTAATGCCATTTAAGTTGATCAAATTCGTGTTCCTCAGATACTGTTCAATTTGCAATATGATTGGGAAAAGAGATTTTTTTTTTTTTCCTTCCTTTTATTATTACATGTTTATTGTAAAGTATTCTTATGACAATTGCATAGTTTGTTAGAAATGGTTTTGGAAATTAGATTTTTCCTAAACTTTGGTCTATTTTTTAGGTGAGACCCATGCGCCGAATTTCACAAGTCAAGGTGGCAATGCGTTCTATGCCGCGTTGTGATTCACATTGTATATTTGGTTGCTCAAAACCATTATCGGGTGAATAGAAAATTGAAGCCAAAGTATGTTCCATGGAAATGGAGTTTTGGTGAAAAATCCTTAAAAGTTTGAATAAAGGCTTGTCCCACATTGGTTTGGCGGGAAGAAATTTATGGGTTTATAAAGCTTGGAATTATAACTTGGGAAGGACTCCCAGGAGCAACCCAAGTTTGTAGAAATGAGAGGTTATGAACAAATTGGGCTAGACTCATTGGATCCAAAAATAACCACGTGCGTGCGCTGCCTCCGCTCGGTCGGGCTGGGCCTGGGCTTGTGCGCAAGTGCGTAGTGTGAGGTTGGGTTAGGCTTGTCTATCTTTTTGGGCCAAAAATATTTGAATTTAATTTTATTTTTTGGTGAAATAAAATTTCTATCCAAAATTCAAATTAATTCCAGAAAAAATCTGTCTGGTTTTCCCCTCTACCAAAATTTTGCCCAGTTTTTATCAATTTGAATTTAAATCAAAACAGTTTCAATATCTGTTCAAATTCAAACCCAAACAGTGTCATACATGTTCAATTCAAACTGAACAAGTTTGCACCTGTTTAATTCAAACCAAACAGCCACTTTTTCTCCTACAAATAGACAGACGCTCTATTGATTTTTCATTCACAATTTTTGTACTTCTCCTCTGCAATAATTCTCTACATTTTGCTACATTAAATTTCTATGAGAAAGAGTGTAAACACTTAGTGTGTTCGTTGTGCGAACAATTTGTAGTGCTGTTATTGTTTGTTGTTGATCATTTTATCCTGGGAGATAGACGTCCACATATTCTGAAAGCACCGTGGAGAGGACGAATCTCTCTTAAGGACACAGTGTCAAACACTGGACTTGATCAGAAAATTTATTCAAGAAATTAATTTGGTAAGTAATTAATTTATTTTTTGTTTTATTATTTTTCTATTTCAGATTTTCATTTTGTTTTTGTAACAAAATAAAAATCTGTTTTATTTATTTATTTTATTTTCTTGTTTGATTTTTGTAATCAAACAAATTCTCTTATTTCCTTTATTTCTTCT